TTTTGTGAAATTTTACAAAAATCCCTGTACAGTACATGGACTTTTGTTCAATTTTTGAGCAACTTTAAAAAATCATACAAAATCCAAACGTGATTGGAATCAGCTCAATCTTTCTACACTGCACAAGTACATGTCTATGCATCAGGAAATGTAATAAAACTGAGGAATTTTCTACTTGTCAATTTTTTGTGAAATTTTACATAATCCATGTACTCAACTTTTGTCCGATTTTGAAGCAACTTTAAAAAATCATAGAAAATCCACACTTGATTCGAATTAGCTCAATCTTTCTACACTGCATAAGTACATGTATATGCATCAGGAAATGTAATGAAATTCAGGAATTTTTTACTTGTCAATTTTTGTGAAATTTTACAAAGACCCCTGTACTACAGTACAGGGACTTTTGTCCGATTTTTAAGCAAATTAAAAAAATCATAAAAAATCCAAACTTGATCGGAATCGGCTCAATCTCTTTTCTCAGCATAAGGACATCAATATGTTTCAGAAAATGTAATAAAAATTTGGAGTGATTTTTTGGCTATTTTTGTAAAGATGGTATGGTACTTACAGTAAGTTGGCCCATTCCTTTACACAGGAGGTCTGCGCATGCACAGTAGACACCACTCAACCTTCTGCACATGCACAGAAGTATTGCGCAATCTTCTTAATGCATTTATTAATAATACATTCTTTAGAGTAATAACGTCACTACTGCCATTATCACACCTAATAGTTAGCTAAATAGTCATTGTTATTGTTATAATGAACTTGATACTACACTAAAATGCAGGTAAAACAGTTTACACACCACAGTAATTAAACAACAACAGTTCAATATCTCAGTATATACAGTAATGTTGTACAATTAAAAAGATATAATGAATATAAGCTGTCCTATCTTGGTAAAAGATGATCTATTGCCTTGAGAAGGAGTAAGACTTCATTAGTGTACATCAAAGTCCATCTCACTATAAATAGTACAAACACTAATATACAGCAGTTAAAACAGTATTGTACTGTATTTTAAACCGTACTTTACCTAATTGTACATCTTCAGTAATACAGTAAAACTTATGCTTATGAGTTATACATACACAATATTATAAACAGTATTGATCTATAGTGTAATTACAGTTGTAATGGATGAGGTAAGCCTCGGACAGGCAAGGATTGTGTACAAGTCCCCAATGATAGTGAAAGACGGCCCGTCCCCCAAAGACATCAAGAAAGAAGGTCTTTTAATATTTTAAGTCCCAGCCAGAGTCAATTTGTTAACAGGAATAAGTCTCCTTGCACCAGACATCTTCACTAGTATGTAGGATGGGCCACAATCATTAACCACACCTACCAATTAACTCAGACCTCCTCAGCTCGAGCAGCTTTCAGGTTGGCCCATTCATTTATACAGGGGTATCTGCGCATGCGCAGATCACAATTAATTGAAAGGCTACTGTACGGGCAAGCCCAGGTCGTGACATGGGCTTGCCCGGGGCATGCATGGGCTTGCCCGGGGCATGCATGGGCTTGCCCGGGGCATGCATGGGCTTGCACAGTGAGCAATCCCTTTGATGTATTGCGCAATATCCGGTCACTAGAAGATCCTCCTCAGCTCGAGCAGCTTTCAGGTTGGCCCATTCCTTTATACAGGGGATCTGCGCATGCGCAGCAGACAATACTGGCCACACCCACCAATTAACTCATACTTCCTCAGCTCGAGCAGCTTTCAGGTTGGCCCATTCCTTTATACAGGGGGATCTGCGCATGCGCAGCAGACAATACTGCTCCTCTATTGCCAGTCTTGTGGTAATTAGAAAATTGGAATTCCTGTCTAAACTACTGACTAAAGATACATCTACTAACCTCAGCTCACAGATACTCACTCCTAGTCTCATCACTGATCCTCTGGGAGTCTCCATTGTTCAGCAATGCCGACTACTGGAGCACCATCTGGGTCTTGAGTCCAGTGCCCTAGATGAGTGTCTAACTGATACTATGTTGCTATGAAGTCTAAAGACACCATACTTGATCATGACAGAAATCAACTCCTATCTAAAGCTAAGGGACACCCAACTACTACTCTTATTGGTGAGGTATCATGTGAGATTTCATGGCTTAGGATTTGGTATGAAGCTCTTGAGTCTTGACCATGGTCCTAAAGGTACCTGTACCCTACAGAAGATTTATAGAATATTATCTCATCCATCTGGTTAGAATATACACTGCTATATGTGTGGTCAGCCGTTTGATACATCATTTCTAACTCACATCCACTCAGACCACCCCATCTCATCTCAATCATCGGTTCTGTTCACCGAGGACATTATCTACTCACTCGTGAAGGTCTCTGATGGAAGCATTGTCAAAATTAAATTTTCTTAGACCAGTGGACTATTTGTGTACCTATTTATTATTTTTATTGTCATTCATTGTGTATATGCCCTTGTAGTCACTTGTTGTTGTTATTGTTATTATACTGGGCTAGCTGATCTGAAAAGGTTGGTGGGTGTGACCAGTATTATAGAATAAAGATCCCAGTATTCTTTCTTCAAAGTTTCAGTGTACCAAATAAGAAACCATTACTATTCTAAGTCCCATCCAGAGTCAAGATTGTAGCAAGAATAAATCTCCTGTAGACATTTGATTGGAATTAATCTCACAGGAATCAGCTCAAACTTCTACACAGCATAAGTACATGTATATGCATCAGGAAATGTAGTAAAATTGAGGAATTTTCTACTTGTCAATTTTTGTGAAACTTTACAAAAATTTCTGTACTATGTACAGGGACTTTTGTCCAATTTTTGAGCAACTTTAAAAAATCACAGAAAATCTAAACCTGATCGGAAATAGCTCAATCTCTCTACTCTGCATAAGTACATGTATATGCATCCGGAAATGTAACAAAATTGAGGAATTTTCTATTTGCCAATTTTCGTGAAATTTTTGAAAAATCCCTGTACTATAGTACAGGGACTTTTGTCCGATTTTTGGGCAACTTAAAAAAATCTTTAAAAATCTAAACTTGATCGAAATCTGCTCAATCTCTCTACACAGCATAAGTACATGTATAAGCATCTGGAAATGTAACAAAATTGAGGAATTTTCTAAATGCCAATTTTTGTGAAATTGTACAAAAATCCCTGTACTATAGTGCAGTGACTTTTGTCCGATTTTTGAGCAAATTAAAAAAATCATAAAAAATCCAAACTTGATCGGAATCTGCTCAATCTCTCTACACTGCATAAGTACATGTATATGCATCAGGAAATGTAACAAAATTGAGGAGTTTTCTACTTGTCAATTTTTGTGAAATTTTACGAAAATCCCTGTACTGTAGTACAGGGACTTTTAACCAATTTTTGAGCAACTTAAAAAAATCATAAAAAATCCAAACTTGATCGGAATCTGCTCAATCTCTCTACACTGCGATAGTACATGTATATGCATCAGGAAATTTAACAAAATTGAGGAATTTTCAACTTGCCAATTTTTGTGAAATTTTTGAAAGATCCCTGTACTATAGTACAGGGACTTTTGTCCGATTTTTGAGCAAATTTAAAAAATCATAAAAAATCTAAACTTGATCGGAAACAGCTCAATCTCTCTACACTGCATACGTTCATGTAAATGCATCAGGAAATGTAACAAAATTAAGGAATTTTTTACTTGCCAATTTTTGAGAAATTTTACAAAAATCCCTATACTATAGCACAGGGACTTTTGTCCAATTTTTGTGCAACTTTAAAAACATCATAAAAAATCCAAACTTGATCCAAATCAGCTCAATCTCTCTACACTGCATAAGTACATGTATATGCATCAGGAAATGTGACAAAATTGAGGAATTTTCTACTTGCCAATTTTTGTGAAATTGTACAAAAATCCCTGTACTATAGTGCAGTGACTTTTGTCCGATTTTAGAGCAACTTTTAAGAAATCATGAAAAATTCAAACTTGATCAGAATCTGCTCAATCTCTCTACACTGCATACATACATGTATATGCATCAGGAAATGTAATAAAATTGAGAAATTTTCTACTTGCCAATTTTTGTGAAATTTTACAAAAATCCCTGTACTATAGTACAGGGACTTTTGTCCGATTTTAGAGCAACTTTTAAGAAATCATGAAAAATTCAAACTTGATCAGAATCTGCTCAATCTCTCTACACTGCATACATACATGTATATGCATCTGGAAATGTAACAAAATTGAGGAATTTTCTAAATGCCAATTTTTGTGAAATTGTACGAAAATCCCTGTACTATAGTGCAGTGACTTTTGTCCGATTTTTGAGCAAATTAAAAAATTCATAAAAAATCCAAACTTGATCGGAATCTGCTCAATCTCTCTACACTGCATAAGTACATGTATATGCATCAGGAAATGTAACAAAATTGAGGAGTTTTCTACTTGTCAATTTTTGTGAAATTTTACGAAAATCCCTGTACTGTAGTACAGGGACTTTTAACCAATTTTTGAGCAACTTAAAAAAATCATAAAAAATCCAAACTTGATCGGAATCTGCTCAATCTCTCTACACTGCATATGTACATGTATATGCATCAGGAAATGTAGTAAAATTCAGAAATTTTCTACTTGTCAATTTTTGTGAAATTTTTGAACAATCCCTGTACTATAGTACAGGGACTTTTCTCCAATTTTTGAGCAAGATTTAAAAATCATAGAAAATCCAAACGTGATCAGAAGCAGCTCAATCTCTCTACACTGCATAAGTCAATGTATATGCATCAGAAAATGTAATAAAATTGAGGAATTTTCTACTTGTCAATTTTTGTGAAATTTTTGAAAAATCCCTGTACAATAGTGCAGAGACTTTTGTCCGATTTTTGAGTAACTTTAGAAAATCCAAACTTGATCGGAATCTGCTCAAACTTTCTCATAAAGTTATCAGTATTATCATATCCTTATGTTCATCGTAAGGTGTTTCTATTCCTTGTTGAGGGAAGACCACACAAGTGAGGTAACTGTCTCCATTACTGGGATCAGTCTGGAGCTGAAACTCTAACAATGGCTTTGACTATAAAATAAATAAAATAACTAATAATAGGACAGCTGGTAATACTGGAGGGGAATTTTGGGTAATTTTAGCATTTTTGTTTATTAATTGGCAGGTTGTAATTTTGCAAATGATTATAAAAGTGCAAAATTGGTCAGTAATTCCCCCTCAAGGTATAAACAGATTATTACTAACATTAATAAACTAATAATAATAATAATGACTGTACAATTGTACATATCAAATGGTACCTGGTTCTCTGCTATCCATATTGCTGTAATGTGAGATAGTGATGAGAGTCCTGCTGGTAGTCTTGACAACTGGTTCCCAATGATATTAATGATTGTA